GGTAATCAGGTTCTCTGCTGGTGCCTAGCGGTCAGGCGGTCAGCTCCTGTCTAGCGGTCAGGTAATCAGGTTCTCTGCTGGTGCCTAGCAGTCAGGTGGTCAGCTCCTGTCCAGCGGTCAGGCGGTCAGCTCCTGTCCAGCGGTCAGGCCCTATTGCACTCCGACCCCTCGGGTGAGCCCCGTCCTCGTGGGGCCCTCAGATCCTGGGGCTCAGATTCCGTCCTGCCCCCCAGTTCAGGTGGGGAATCCTGGGTCTTCCTCGGCCCTTCACCCCCGGCGCCCTCATCTCTCGATGAACTGCAGGCTGATGTGGCTCTGTGGCACCAGCAGGGTTCTGGTCATGGGCCGGACCTCGCCGCCCTCCGGGTCAGGCTTCACCTCGAACCGGGTCAGAATCTGAGGGGAGGGGAGGAGAGACCTGTCACCACTGGTGAGGCTTAGTAAGGAGCCTGGGGAAAAGCAGTTTTTAAAAGGCAGTTACAATGATCGTTGTAGTCTGTGTATAGTTACTATTTTATGCTATTACCTCTTAAGCACTATTTTCTTAATACTTTTAACAAAATGACCCCTTGCAGAAGCAACCTGGACCTATTACACAGTAAGAGAGCCCTGGCCCCTGACCAGCTCAGTAGCGCCCCCTGCAGGGCGGCGCAGGACTGCCTCTCACCCGCGCCAGCGCCAGGTACAGCTCCAGCTCCGCGATGCGGCGCCCGATGCAGCTGCGCTTGCCCACGCCGAAGGGGACGGACGCGTAGGGGTGGTGACCCTCCTCGCGGCTCAGCCAGCGCTCGGGCCAGAACCGGGCCGGGCTGGAGAAGAACCGCGGGTCGCGCGATGTGGCGAAGTGGCACAGAGTGATGAGGGTCTGGGGGGGGGGGAGAGGAAAGGTCATCAGGGGTCTCGTCAGAGAGAGCCGCTCATCCACACTGCAAGAGAGGCGCTGTCACACCGCACGGACGTCATCCTAACACTCAGGAACACAGGATCCGGCACACGAGAGGAACAACCGGCCTGTCTGGCCTGTTTGGTAGTTGACCGAACCCAGGATCTTATCCTGAAGTTTCTTTAAAGAAGCCATATCAGCTCCAACAACGTGGCTGGAAGATTGTTCCACACTCCCACCACTCTTTGTGTAAAGGGGTGCCTCCTGTTTGCAGGTACAAATGCACTTCCCTGTAGTTTCTACTTGTGCCCTCCAGCTGGACTCTCACTGTCCGTGCTGAAGAAGTCTACTGGCTTTGACTTTGTTGATGTCTTTGAGGATTTTGACTTTGTGCTTGAAGCGCTTTGAGAAGCCACTTCAAAAGGAGAATTATAAGATAAATATTACTTAATATTACTTATATCGCATTCCCCCATTGGTCTTCACTGTTCAAGGCTGCAAGGTCTGCTTGCACACTGGGCGAAGGGAGGGATCAGCTGCTCACCTTCTTCGGGATGAGGTATCCTCCCACCTGGATGTCTCGGTCTGCGATGACCCTGGCGTTGGCAGGAATCACTGGGTACAGCCTGGAACCGAGAGGGGGTGTGAACGGGGCAGCGGCAGAGAGAACGAGGGAACGAGACTCAGAGAGAGAGCTGGCTGCCCAGAGAGGACAGGCTGTGCTCCCACTGCCAGCGGGGAGAGACAGAGACAGAGGTGCACTTCCTACTGCACTGTGACAGATACTCTGGGATTAGAGAAACATTCTTCCCCTAAATTCAGAAATCTAGTCCCAGAGTTCCCACACCTGCCAGAGTCAGAACAGCTCCCAATCCCACTGGGAGAGGGGGAAGGGAACTCAGTTGAACTGGCAGCCCAGTATTTGATCTCCTGTCACAGCCTGAGGAACAGTGAGTCTGTCTCCCAATAATGCTCCATCTGTCTACAGTATATGTCAATATTTGATTATATGTCTTTGTTGTAAATACATGTAATATGTCTGTAGATTTCAGTTTACTTTTATTTTTGTTTTGTTTAATGTTAATTTTATTATTTTTATTTGCTTTGGCAACACTGATTGTACACATCGGTCATGCTAATAGAGCACCTTGAATTGAATTGAATTGATAGAACAAGAGAGAGAATGAGGGAATGAGACTTGGAGAGAGAGAGAGAACGAGGGAGCCGATGGAACGAGACTCGGAGAGAGAGAACGACGGAACGAGACTCAGAGAGAGAGAACGAGGGAACGAGACTCAGAGAGAGAGAACGAGGGAACGAGACTCGGACAGAGAGAGAAAGGCACAGGTCAGTGCCTCACCTGAGTACCTCCTTCACCACGGCCTTCATCAGAGGCATCTGGGCCACGTCCACAGCCCCTGGCACCTCCCGGCCACCCAGGACCCCCTCCACCTCCCTCCTCAGAGCACTCTGCACCTC